GTTCTTCTTTCTAAATAAGGAAATATCTGCTATGCAAGTTTAATTACATGCGTATAAGGGTTTGGAAAAGTCTTTCAATTAGGAAGATCAGAAAAAGAAAAAATACGGAAAATTAATTCCTATTGCAACTCATTTGATACAAGATTTCTCTTTACTACTACACCACACTTATTCCAATTAAAGAAAATGACAAGTGTTGCATATTTTTCTGTGTTCTTATCAGTAGTGACAATCTTAAAAATAGAGAATTCATGTTTTTCATTCAATATTATTTCCTTATTTTTTTTTTTGAAAGTTGTACAAATTTAACTTTTTTACGGAGCGATAATTCATTTCGAAACAGGGATTACAATCACGTATAAATTATTTGACCCTTAAAAACATGTCATTGTTATTAAAAATTTACTGATATTTTATGTCGGGAGTTCAAAGATTCGTTGAATTTCTAGACAAAAATTACCACTTTTTCTAAAGATCCAATCGCGGAAATTTTATTACCAAAATCCGGAATAAAAAAGACCTGCATAAAAACGACAGGTTTTTCGGGGCGAAAAGTCTGATCATGTATTTTGTTCAACAGCGGGCAAGAATTAAAGTTTTGGGGGTACAAAATTTTCTCCATTAAAAAAATCTATACCCTAAATTTAGTGCATGCATGCAAATTTGTAGCACAGAGAACAGCCCAAATCCCTGCATCACTTGCTGGCTCGGAGTCTCAATGGATGATGAATAATATTAAGAATATCAGAAGGTAGAAGTATATTTAATAAAATGCTACGTATAAATATTTTGACCATATGAACAATTAAAAAACAGGTTGTTACCGGCCAATTAAATTTAATACGTCACTAACTAATTGCTAAAAACATTTCATTTCTAGGTTGAACAAAAACAAGTTAATCGTAAATCCTTTGTATGTACATGTACCTTTGGTGTAATTTGTTACATAGAATAAAGTTTACTATATTTATCGTGGTGCTTTCTATATTGGTTAGTTTTCCCCCATTTTGATAATACCCGGAAATTCACTATAAGTTGCACCACAATCTGCACATGACTTTAAGCCGTGCAAGGTTCTTATAAACATGTGTTTAGTTCTCTATCGCTATGTAACTATGTAGTCTTTATGCATACATTATAAAAAAAATTAGCATAATGTTATTTTTCCACTGTATGCAGTAGATGATGAAACAACAATCACCCCCTTTATGCCAACTTAATTTATTTTTCCATAAATAGAAATTAAAACAATGGATAAAAAATTACCACACTAGGTTATATCGCTTGAAAAACAATATGATTATAAGAACAGCAGTATGTGATCATTGTCTCAAAATTCATAGTATGATGAGAGAGAACAATGGTGCTACCCGAAATAAACCATAGATTTTACTTGTTTTGGTAATTAACATTTTGTTGGGCACAGGATGCTACTTTTACAATGATTTTATCTGGTAATTGAATAATTGATAACCGGATTTTCAGGCAAATATTCAATTGAAAAATAATGTTACAAACAAAGGGTTAACCGTATAAGTAATAAAATGTTTCATATAATAATATATATATTTTAATAGGACATAATATTAACAATACCAAAGTAACTTTTTTTCGAAAGTCAAGGCCTAGTTTATTTCCTACTACTATTTTTAAAAACTAGTAGTGGAGAATGAATTGAAATGGAAAATAACCGAAACAGGTGTGATAACTTGTATATTTTTTGTTTATTCTAGCGTCAAATCACAATCGTCTGCTTCTGAGCTATCACTTTTCACTTTATGAATAATTTTAGAAAAAGTTAATTTATGGATAAGTTGATTGACACTCGACATGTATTTGTTTCGATGATACGGTGACTTTTCGCATTCACTTTGTTTTAAGTCTATTTCAAGTAACAAATAAACCGAGAACAAGTTTTTTTTCGACTTTTGATTAGCCAATCTGTTTTGGATCTTCGTGATGGGATAAATTTGGCATTTCAGTTTGTTGTTTGCTATTATCGTTATCGCATCTAATTGGTCAATTTTATCATGTGATCTTGTTTGATTTATGAATAGGTATTAATTATCTATAATCATGTGATTCTATTATTAAAAATAAAGTACATGTATTATTACTATCTATGGGTTCAATACATGAAAGAATGCTAGAATCACGTGGTTTTAATTAAGACTTATGAAGTTACAATATCGATAAGATAATCTTGCTATAACTTTGCTATTATATTAGTTTCTCGTCTCGTGTGTTTTATCGAAAATTTTGCTATTAGCGCTAAATGACGACATTAATTTAAATTTATGTATAATAAGTAATTTTCGTATCTCCCTTAAAAGTTAATATTATTTAAAATTCATTTGAGATTTAAGTTTTACAAATTTCCCCTGTTTCAAAATGGTTTATTTTTAGTTAAACAATGCACAAGTAACCATGTCATTGAGTATGGATCTAAATATTTTGTAAATTTCCATATTTAGACAAAAATCTTTGCGTGCGTATAAATGACATTATGGCAAATAATAACAATACCTTCTATTATAAAAAATCACATCACCCGCCGCCGTTATTCGTTATGATTTCCGGTGCAGGTTATTTATATTTTGAATTTTGTTTATGTAATAAACCTCGCTGTTATAGAATGGTGCTTACATGAATTGTCCAGATATCGATATTATGTCTCTCATTAGCGAGTAATTTAGCCTGCGTATTTGCGTTTATTTTTTTGATCTTCCCACAATTTCTTTAAATCACATCTAGTTAACTCAAAGAATATGAGTTTACGCCGAGCTTGAATAATTCTGGTTTTGTGTGTTTCGTGTTAATGAAAATAATTTCATAGAAAGCACGTGCAGTCAATAAATTACGAAGTTTCATTGAACATCTGCAAGAACAATAGCATACATGTTCAAATTTAGAGTGATCGAGAACCGTGAAAATATTGTCTCCTTTATAGATAAATTTGGGAACATAGAATCATCATCGTAATTACTTACATAGCTTTTAAAAAGAGCGTATCTATCTTTGAAAAATTGTATGTACTGTATTTTTCCGTCGTTTTAAGATCAATTAAGTAGAGATGTGCCAGTCAAAGTATCACGATTTTTATCAACAGCTTGCATTATCAGGAATAAAAAAATTTTTATCATCAAATAAATAAACGAGCCCATTTTCCGCACACATATAGATTGATTTACGAACCCGCTTACAAAATCTTGTCCGCCTGCCTCTGAATGAATCTAACACTGATATTATTTGATATTTAAAAGAAAAACATATACAGGATTATGTACATGTACATGTATACGCATACACATAATTTACCCCTTTCTCGTTTCATCCATTCAGCACTCTTTTCCCACCCTCTCTGTCGTCTATTTTATTTACCGATCTCGCCGTTACAACATATGAGTAACGGGTGACGAATCTTATTCTTTTTAAATCAAATTATAAGAGATGTTTTTAGTATCACCTGTTGTTACATTTTACTATATACTTTTTGTATAAATCAAAAACTTTAAATAATTTCAAATCGCACTCGTAATCTTTGGAACCACAGCCGAATTTATAATGCATCATATGTGTATCGCAAAAAGCGTTGTGACGAGGCCTAGAATTGGAACAACGTTTTAAAATATTGGGACAATTCTGGAAGAGGGTGCGAAAACGGGGTGTGTCTGGATTTTGGTATCCCTACCCACAAAAACGTTTGTACATGTACATAAGAAAAAATATGCTTTCAAGATTTTTTTGGGTACATGTATTTCCAATGTATTTTTAATTTTTTATTTAGTGGACATAAAAGATAAAAATGAATAAAAAATGTTATTCTCTTTTGCTTCCGCATCAAAATACATTTCGATCAAGTTTAGAAATTTCAAAGTACCTGTTTTGCGGAGAATATTTTCATGTACCTGTTGATAAAAATTTTGGGTTAGAATCATACACGGGTAAACACGTTTGATCAAATCAAAAATCAAAAAAAAAAAACGTAATTGTTTGTTCAGAAGAAACAGAATTTGTTCATTTTTTTTTATGTTATTTCCTTTTTTGTTTCGAACCACATTTTGAAGAAGAAGAAGAAGAAAATTTTACATTTACTAACTACATTTACTGGAAGAAGACGGCATTTCTGCAATTATTATTAATCAGAAAACTCAATTTCGAAATTAAATAAACAAAAGAGGGAAGTGAACGATAATTCACTTCGACATTAGGGTAATAAAAGGGGGAAGAAAAAAATTAAACAAAGAAAAAAGAATGTTTACACGATGTGGTGGGTGAAAAAGCATATAGGAGAAAAGAAGTTAAATTTTTTGTTAATTTTTTACAACTACAATTCGGTTATATACAGGAAGGTTTTGGTTGTAGTAGAAAAGAGAAGAAATAAAAAAAATTATTAGTAGTAGTAAGAGTTAAAAAAAATAAATTAAACCCATCCACACTGAATCACGGACACATTTTATGCTCAATCCCCACCCAATTGTATTACTTAGTATATTATATAGAGGAATGGTGAAATCCCGCTGACAATCGCTTTCATATAAACAGAGAAAAATTAAGATATTAAAAAAAGGAAGGGGAGGGGGGAAGTTTTAAAAATTAACAAGAAGAGAATATTAAAGAGAAAATGCAATCGCATTTGGGATTTCGGTTTGGTTCGGTTCGGTTCGGTTAGGTAATTACAGTCATAAAAGAAAATTGGTAAATTTTGGTGAATGAATGGCATTTAAATGTCCGTAATTGTAATTAGTATTAGAATTAGGAAGATAAAAAAAAAACATTAAATTTTTTTGTTGGTAGAGTTAAGAAATGTCCATGCTTCTCCCGATATTTAAGAGGTGAATCTTTTGAATAAATTAATCTAGAGAAAATTTACTAAGTGTTGGGCTGAAATAGTCTATTCTAAGCCCAGTTTATGCATTAAATTAAAAATTAACATTAAATTAAATTAAGTCGAATTAAATTAAGAATTAAATATATAAAGAAATATGTTAAAAAAAAATTCATGGCTGTTCGCACATGAGCTGCTGTTCACCGGGTGCCATAAACGCAGTAGCAAATGTCTCGAGATTAATATAATCAAAAGTTTCGTCAGTAAATGGAGAAGTGTTCAAGTAGTTAGGTGTCATATCGAGAAGATTAAATGGAAGCATTTCCGACTCTGAACCATTTGAAGTAGCGTCCATCATTAGATTTGGTGATAGCGCGTATGGATCGAACGTTGTCTCAAAGAAAACTTGGTCATGAGTCATTTCGCCACCAACAGGAGAAACCGCGGCCGGAACGGGTTCTAGTGATGGTGACAAAGAGAGCGGTGATGACGCGGTCGTCATATTAAACATTACGGGCATTTCGTTATCGACAATATCGGCGATTGTTGAAGCAATTGAACTTCGGCGAGAGAAATCATCATCAAAAGCATATTCATAATGAATAGAATCCTCTAGGCTACTTACTGATTCTATTGACGGACGACGCTGCACGTCATTAAAGAAGATTTCATTAATGGAATTGTCAATGTTAACCTCAACATTGTCACTTGGTAATGACGATGATACTGTGGTCGCTGCATCATCTGACGATTGCATGGAATCTTTCGTCGATGCTGACGAAGAATTGAGAGAAGCAGCAGAGGGACGTTTTGTTCTTCGTCGTTTCTCGTGAGGTCGTCTTGGTCGATATTTGTATTCGGGATATTTTTGCGCGTGTTCCATTTTTGCAGCGTCTGCCAATTGTTGAAAATGAGATTTCTCGTCGGCAGAAGCTTTGTGCCACATTTCGCCTACTTGCTTCGATACCTCATTATTCGTTATTCCTTCGTTAGCTGCGACGATTTCTTGTTGCTTGGATCGTCGATATAAGATGAAAGCATTTGGAGGTCGTGGTGGCTTCTTTGGCTTATTAGCTTTGGAGACCGATCCGCCCCGCGGAGATGGTCCCTTTGCTTGAGTAAGCACTAAAGAAGGAAATTTTAAGTCGACATCGCTTGCCACCGATGTGGCATTAATCATTGCTGAGGGGTTGTTCTGATTCGTTTTCGCATTATTCATAGCATCGAATTGCTTTTGTTGAAGCTGTTGTTGCTGCAGTTGTAGCGTTTGTTGATATTGGATGAGGATTTGTTGTCGTTGTTGTTGTAAGAGCAACTGATGTTGGTTGTTAGGGGATGCGGAATTGCTACTGCTGCTTTGACGTCCATTATTATTACCAGTTTTTTTATTTTTGTTGGCTAGGAGCAGGTTAGCCGGTGGCTGTTGTGTACCATTTGTTGGAATCAAAACCGGTTCGAATCCTTCAGGAATGAAGTATGATGTTCCCCTTCGTTGTTCATAAAGACTAAGAAGCTTGTCTGTGGAGATTATTTCAAACGTTGGCGCTCTTTTTTCTGTCGGATTTTTAGTCGTTGATGGTGAGGATGATGATGTTGTTGATGATCTTGAGTTGTTGCTATCGTTTGAAGAGCGTGTTGTTGTTTTCGTTGAAGATACGTGATTATTATGTGTTGACATTGTGAAAAATAAATTTTGAAACAATGTTTATGTTTGAATAAGCTCTCTCGTCTTTGGTTTTTATTCGTTAAAAAAATAACTCGGAGAAGTAAAAGAGATTTTTTGTGTAAAGAAAGATTTTTATTTTAATTTTTTTTTTTACAAGAGTGAGAGACAGAAGAAGAATGAAGAACGAAGGTAGAAGAGAAATAAAAAAGAAGAAAGGAATAAAGAAATAGAAAATTTGGCCCGCGTAATGTAATAATGCGGAAGTTTGCAGAGACAAGTTAAAGTTTCTCTTCCAACTAACAACAGCTTTATAGAGTTTTTTTAGGGACCTTGGTCCTTTTTATTTATAATGTTTGTGCAGTTATTCTCAGACCCTATGATGGAAAGAATGTCGCTGTTAGAATTGGCTTATAGGGATTAGCCTGACTGGATATGTTTTTTTTGTGTGTGCGTGTGTGTTTGGATTTTGTGTGTATGCGCGACTTCTTTATATATAAGAAATCATATAGGCAATATAAATAAAATTTTTTTATTCGATTTTATTGCAAAAAAGTATTTGAAATATATAAAATATACAGTATTTTAATAATATATATATATATTAAAATATAAAATGTCGATCTTACCCCAGCGGGCCCGATTATTTTATACATTGACTACTTCATAATACGTGCTACTAGTTAATATCTATAAGTTAGCACTAGGTAAATAATAATTATATTACGCCACTACGCCACCTTCTTTGAAATAAATAAAAGTTTTAATGATTCGATAGATAAAATATTTCTTCCCTTTTGTCTTCCATTCAAAGTCGTAAACTGTATGTGAATGAAACAACCAAGTCGCTTTGTAGCGGTAACAGTGGTAATAATATATGTCATAATAAAAAGAGCCAGCGTCACCAAAAAATTCATCATCGTTCATTAAGTAATTGGATTTGATTGATGCAAACGATAAAAATTTCTGGCAAAACAACAAACGAGAAAAAATTTATTATTATTATAAAAATGGTATCGAAAAGTACAAACTAACGAATGATCAAAATGAAATGAATGAACGATTTATTTGGTGTGATGATGTGCTTGTGATATTGATATACGATTGTGACTTTTGAGAAGCTTTTGTTCTTTCGTTCTCTGTGTTTCAATGATTATGATACACATATGGATTACGAAATTTATCGAGTTGACTATCTAATTTAATCTCGTATCGAGAGACTTTTTTTTTTGAAATGATGATAAATTTTTTTATTTTATTTGTCAAATCTGGTCGAAATATCTCATCTTGTTCATTTTTGACGCTTGCTGACATTGTTAATTTAATCATAAACCTAACAATGAAACTAGGCTGCATACAAATGAATGCGTGTTGACTAGTAATTTGTTTCACACGATCGTAATCTCCTAAAGTGCAATAGTTTCCTAATTTATTTTTACGCGTAGATACGCGCGCTCTCCCTAACAAACAAACCACATGCACAAGAAAGGAAAAATGTAAGAGAATACAATTTTATTATTTTATTATTCGTCGTCGGTTATCTTAATTTAAAATTCAAGATTTATTCAAGTTTGATAATTTTAGCTAATAAGAATTATGGTAGATGATAAATTTTTCCACGGTCATGTCGAGGACTCTGTGAATTCATTCAATTTAGTCATTCTGAGAAATATGGTGTCATGATTAGGAAAATTAATTAGTAAATCATCTTAGGTTTTCAAGGTTACCACTGAATAAACTACAATCGAGATTTTCAACCTTTTGTCATTGTATTTGAAATTCTTTGGCTAGGGTTCATTTTCTCTCAGTAAACATTGAATCATCGTAAATAATAATGTATGTTTGTGGTTAATCTTTACTTTGCCAGCAAACAATGAGAGAAGCCAAACCTTTTCTTTTTTTTTTAACTTATTAGATTCGAGATTAGGGGTGGCATAAGAAAAGTTTTCCAAAGCAAGTTGAGTATTTTTTCTAGGCGCACGGTTACTAAGGGAGGCAATCGATCGTTTCTTTCCTTTAGATGGGTATAAATGTGTGTTACGCATATCGACTAGTTCAAAAGTAAAAAAAAACTACGCGCGATAGCGAATCATTTACATGCGTATTCTGTTAAGGGAGGAAGTGTATCGAGTGGGAGTATATAATCGCCATTTGATGATGAACTTCATTTTGACGTGAAAGTATTACAATGTGATAGATCAATCATCACCAAAATGCGTTAATGTGATTGGCCGAAATTTTTCTGATTTTCCTTGTGTTCTTTCGGGAGTAATATTGTTGTTCTTGATATTGTTCTCTCACCTTTTTCTCATCTTCTAGAGTATTTTTATTATCATTATAAATGATGAATGCATTTGATTTAAATTTGTACCATACTAATCACGCTTAAATTCCTCTTCTTCGTACACTAATTTGGGAATTCAAGGAGTTTTTAATACACGCACACACACACACACACACACAGTGAGAGACAGTGGTAAGAAATTCTAGTTAGTGTAATGTAAGATGATAATAATGATTGTGCGTGAGTTCATATGTGAAAAGTGTTTCTTCTTTTCTTGTCATTCATGCTCGAACAATAATTTTTAAACCGTACCCATGAGATCTGCATCGCTGCTATTTTTAGCGACCAATTTAAAATTTTTGGAAACTTATAGATTTGTAATAATAAAGTTGTCTGCCATGCAGGTAATTTTTCCTTTTTTTTCTTTTACGTAATTGGTAAATACAAAACGATGATTACTATTATTACAAAAATTTATATGGTTGATTTTATGAAACGACAGAGTAGTTTATTTTTATTATTCCTAAATAAGGAGTGTATGTGTGCTGTGTGATGTTTGGAATAGGAGCAAAAAATTATGCGTGTAATAAAGTGAAAAATGCCAAGTATGTAAATATTGCATCAGCTCCAGGTGCTCTTGTGGTAGTAATTGAATCTGGATTTCGGAGTTTGAAAAAACCGTCAAACACAAAGTCCATACAGTCTGCATACTACACACCATACACACGCAGACGGAATAGACGGTCAATTCATTATTTTTATTCTGTTACTGTGCCTTCATCTATTCGGCTAT